CTATGTGTTCATCCTGAGAATAGATTTAATTTTAATATACATGCACTTTCTGCTATCATTGTTATCATAATTTTTTATGCATAAACGTTTTCGAGAATATTCATTTTACTGATTCAAATGTTTTTAAAAATATTTTTATATTATTTGTACACTTAAGAAAATATGTATGAAATATATTTTAATACTTTAATAATCATACAATTTTTTTTTTATTTCAGGTAATCCTTGTTTATCCAGGAAAATCTGCTGTAACCTTACAAGACTTCTATTCTTCAAATAAAAAGTATTCAAATTGTTTATTTATTTACAACAACTGTTTTATTATAGAATCAAATTATTTTATTACTCTTATATTATAGAACTCTTTTAGTAGACAGAAAATGTATGATCTGCTATATGATATTGTTGTTGAACACAGTGTTGAAGTAATTCTATCACGGATATTCTTGAATTCATTGCAAAAATATTTTATAAACATATAAAGTAAACTATAAAACAAATATTATTATTATTAAACTTAAGTAAGGTATAAATATACAGTTTTTCCCCTAAAATCTTTATAACAACAATATGCAATTAATATATTAATCAATTTAGGTTTTTTAAAGTATATATAGTTACTGGTTAGAGCAGTGGCGCCGATCACCTAATTTATCAATGACATATGTCATAGTAGATTTTAYTGCTGGGGGGCCCACCAAGAGTTACGGGGGTTGGTTGTGGTTAGGTTGTGAAAAAATTAGGGTGGGGGGCAGGCACCAGAGGGGCCTCTGAATGTACAATGTCATAGTATTTTTTAAACACTTCGGYGCCACTGGGTTAGAGCATAATCCCTGTAACAAATTACAACCAACACATAAATATYGGTTTCCCGGAAGTTACTTTATACTCATTTCATTTTTAAAAGGTCTAGCTTCTTTGTATTAGTATATAAACCAATTTAATAATTTGTACACAACAATAAAAAAATAGATGGTATATGTTTACATTTACTTTTAATATTTACATTTACACTATACATGATAAAAAAAAAACTACCATCTCGTAGTTGGTTGTTTTATTTGTTTAGATTTTTCAGATAGTATGTAGGAAAATTTATTTTTAGTCTCTTATTTAGGGTAGTACCAAGTAATAAGTATGGTTTTGGAAGATGTTGATAAAATTAATGGAATCCTACTGTTATTTGATTATTTGTCTCTAACCCGCTATTTGCATTTATTGATAAGACATGTCTGTCATAAGCAACTTGATTATGTTTATTATACTTCTAAGATAATTTATGATGGAAATAAAATAAGTTTTCATGTTTTTTCTGTTTTCTAGAGATGTGTTGTAGGTTATTTATATGTCTATATATAGTCTATAATAAAATTTGAAGACATTTAAATTAAAAATATAATACATTATTAGTAGTGTAGTAAAACGATAAGAAAAAATTAAAAATTGTATATTAATAGTYGTTTTCTTTAGTAATATATTTAAATCAAACTAATGCTTGATTTTTCATACTATAATATATTATGTATTTTTACAGACAAGAGGATAGGGAAGAACATAAAAAAAATAATAATTCTAGCAAATTCATGACTCATGCATTGTTTATTGATAGTACATGGAATCAAAGTAATGGAATTCTGAAAGATCCAATAATATCAGGTTCGTTACTCGTACTGTAGCAATTATGTAATATTTTTATTATTATGTAATATAAATTACAAACACTTATTTGTTATTTTTTTTTTTTTAAGGACTTCCGTGTATAAAGCTGAATATAAGATTATCTCAATTTTGGAGACATCAAAAAGGCAGCCCTAGATGGTTTTTAGCTACTATTGAAGCTATCCATCAACTACTAGTTGAATTCACAGAAACAGATATTGAAGCAAATGAACCACCTGAAAATTATGATAATATGTTATTTTTCTTCAGATTTATGTATGAAAAAATCCATCAACTATATGAACATGATAAACTTAAATCATACAGAAGACCTATGAATATATGAAGTTGTTACAATAAGATAAAATGTATTTATTTGTCTAAAATATATATTTTTTTTTACTTATTTTAATATTGAAGAGAGGTCACTGTATTYGAAACGTTTTCAATTAAATCCCCATGTTATGTTATATTGGCATAGTATTTAATTAGAATTTTAAATGATAAAAAAAGCAATATAGATATCAACTATGGCAAGACCACTTACCCATAAACGCTAAATAATAAGTTTAAGTTGAATCATTTTGAGGCAATAAAATGAAGCTCATCATTCTAAGAAGACGGTTTAAAATGTATGAAGAATTGTTATCTATTAATTCAGTAGATAGTTATCTAATCATTAATTTGATATATTTCTCTTATTATATCATATGTGCAGCACATAATGTGCTGCATGTAAGGATTAGTTGCTTACTGTTTTACAAGGGTTTCTTTAATATTCTATAAATTTATACTGTTCATCCAGCTAACTCAAACAAAAATGAAAACACCTCTTMTATTCTAATTTAATAASTAATATGACTATGTAGATAAAAAGTTCAYTGTTTATTTATTGAAGTACCTATTGCTCTTGTAAAGTTAAAAGTTACGAACAATTTTAGTGCAARAAATTATGGTTTCTTTCAGTTGAAATATTGTACAATTTGTTATTTTTGACAAAATATGTATTGAAAATATGCCTTAAAAACCTTAGTAATATACATTTATATGATGAAAATCAAAAAAATTTTGAAATTGCAAAAAAATATTAATTCATATTTTTTATCATTTTACACTGTGACAATTCTCATAATTTTTGTAAAATGAAGAAATATAAATTATTACAGTTTTCATCAAATTTTAGTTTCTTCGTAATATTTTAGTTAAAAAAAAAAGAAAAAGAAATGCATGTAAATTTAATTATAATAATGTCATAGGAATTAAAATACAAATACAAGTATGTTCAATAAAATAGAAAAACTCAAAAATATGCCAACATATAAAGTAATCTTAAGAGTAAAATCACCTATTAAAAAAAAAATATGGAGAATAATATTTTTGAGGGAATGACATCGATTTGTCTAAATATTGTCTTAAAACAATTTAAATAT